TGGTGCATTAGGTATTTAATATTTGCAAGTATTTTTAAATGAGATTTTTTTTTAATAATTTCATATAATCTTTTCATGTACCCTGACTTTCTCCACAAGGGATTTTAGGGCTACTTACATACTTACAAAAACAACACACAACAAAGTAATGATAAAATATAGATAGAAGTAAGAAATGTAAACCAAGAAAAAGGATACAATTATATCAACTTTCCAGGTTGATGTAATTGCTGATGATGTAATTAAGCTTTAGTTTTGACTGAGTGTAGTGGCATCCAAGGCACAGAGAAAGGTGTGATCAGCCAAATACTTTTAATTATTAGAAAGACTCATCATATTATTGTGAGTTCCACAGTGTTAATGAAAGGTATACTGGTGCTGGATTTTATTTTATTTTATTTTATTTTATTTTATTTTATTTTATTATTCTATTCTATTTTATTATTATTATTTCTTAACATTTATTTATTTCCGAGAGAGAGAGGCAGAGCATGAGCGGGGGAGGGGGAGAGAGAGATACAGAATCTGAAGCAGGTTCTAGGTTCTGAGCTGTTTGTTAGCACAGAGCCCAATGCAGGGCTCGAACACACTAACTGCGAGACCACAACCTGCGCTGAAGTTGGATGCTCAACCAACTGAGCCACCCAGGCACCCCACCAGTGGTAGATTTTAAAGATGTGTCTATAGTGTGAACCTCAATGATGCAGTGGCCCAAGGTCCTTGAAAACTTTTTTCAGCAAATGCAGCATGTGGTTGCTCATTTCTGATAGTCACCTTGATAAAAGTGGTGAAATACTGTTTTACCGGATAAATGGTAACATATCATTAAAATGCAACGCAATGAAGGTGATTCTACAAGTGACTTAGCTCAAATGGTCCAACATGATCCAGAGAAAGACCCGTAGTTTTGAGATGAATGGATAGGCAGCACATATTCTAAGCATTTTTTCGTACTTTTCTCAATAGGCTTTTGTTAGATAGTTGACAGAGTGTGGTTATACTCTGTGCTGATTGTCTGTAGTTAGGTGATTTTTGTGTTGCTGGTTGTGGTGAATTTATATGCTTTGAAAACTAGAACATGTATTCACGTTGATATTCTTTTTTGGATATGAAAGGACCCAAGCAGCACATTCCCCTGAAATGAAGGTGAACTTTTCATGGAACAAGGCTCTTAGTGCCCTTAGTGTTTTCTTCATGAAATCCTGATTTTCCTTCCTGAAGCAATTTTAAATTCCTTTTACAACATAAACTATTGCTTGTTTAGCTTTAAAAAGTGAATACCAAAGGGGAGCCTGGGTGGCTCACTTGGTTGAGCATCTGACTCTTGATTTTGGCTCAGGTCATGATCCAGGGTTGTGGGATCTAGCCCTGCATCAGGCTCTGTGCTGAGCATGGAGCCCACTTAAGATTCTGTCTCTCCCTCTGCCCCTCTCCCCTGCTCTCTTTCTCTCTCTCAAAAAAAAAAAAAAAAAAAAAAAAAAGGAATACCATGGAAAATGGTTAAAATTATTTTCGTTTTGAAAAGTTTCAAAGCAGGTAGTATCTTGGTTGCTTATACACACTGCCATAGTCCATTCGGGTGGCTATAACAAAATACCATAGACTTTGTAGCTTATAAACAAAAATTTATTTCTCATGGTTCTGGAGGTAGGGAAATCCAAGATCAGGGCACCAGCATGGTTGTGTTCCGGTGAAGGTCCTCTTCTTGGTTCATAGCTGGTCCCTTCTCATTGTGTCCTCATACAGTGGAAGAGTTGAGGGATCTCTGTAAGAGCACCAGTCCCATTTGTGAGGATTCCACACTCATGACCTAACACCTCCCAAAGACCCCACCTCTTAAGACCATCTCACTAGGCATTATGATTTCAACAGATGAATTTGAGGGGAACACAAACATTCAGACCATAGCATAGACCTTCTGTAATTACTTCTGTGTGTTATTGGTTATGGTGTTACATGAATTTCTAGTTTCACTATAAAATTTAAAATGTTGAAGAAAGCAAAGTGTGCTCTTATGTGAAGAAGCTATATGGTATTATTTAATATGAACCAGTTGGACATTAGCAGAATGTTTGCCAATAAAAATTACTTTGTCTTACAATGCTCTGAACTCTAAAAAATAATTAGGTGTAGGATTAATTACCATTTAGACCATTCTGGTTTGAAAAATAAGAATTCATCATTGGTAACAGTAAAGTTTTCTTTCTTTTTTTTTTTTTAATTTCAGGAGAATTTATAATGATGTAAATATATCACATAGAATTTTTTTTCTTTATTAGTAGGTACAAGTGGTCAAGTTGCTTCCTTAAAGAGACCTGAAGAGGATGATATGGCTTTCTTTGAAAGACGATACCAAGAAAAGGTAAGTCTGTGGGGAAATCTGCTTACTTTAAGCATTTACTTGTGACAAAGACACAGTAGAATTACATATTGATTGTGGATCATCATTGAAAATAATTTATAAAGTCTCTACTTATAGCTGTATTAGGGCTTGAGGCTTATTTAGAATGATTCAGAGAGAAACAGGATGAATGAATAATATGATATCTAATATGCTAATTTATGAAGGTCATAAATATTGATTAAATATACAAATAAAATCGTCAATAATAAACACCAACCATCAGCAGATTTGTAAATTACGTGTATCTTGAATTCTTTTTTTTAATCTTGAAATTTTAATATGTAATATTTCTTCTTCTCAGTGCATTCAAGGTATATCTAGACTCAAATTAAAATTACCCATTAGTCTTTAAGAAACAGAACACAAAACCTAAATGTATGTTAGCGATCCTGAGAGCTCAGCAACTGTAGTATTGATGTTTTCCCAGTTTTCACTAGTGATAATTTTCATCAGTTCTCCACCACACTATAAACTCCTTAGGGATAAACAGTATTTCGTTCCTTTTTATATTTTCTTCAGAATTAACTACAGTGCATTGCACATAATAACTTTTCAATAAATATTTATGGAAAATTGAAAAAGTAAACACTTATTGATTGATCATCACTTTCATACATCTCATAAAGTTACACATTTGATGTGTTTCCTGGCAGTGTTCATATTTGATAGCTTTATTTTTGGTTATTGCCAGATGAAAGTGTGTTGGTTTGATGAGGTATGGGGAATGGTATCCATCCATATGGTACATTACCCAAAGTGCTTTCCTTAGGATTATTTTATAGTTGTTCAGTGGCTATTTATTATCTCTCCAACTGGGTAATAAGTGATAAGAAAGTAAAGACACTCTTGTCACTTTTTGTTGTAGCTTATTGAGTAACTGAAGGGTGGTAAAAGGAGACCATTAAATAAATTCACCTTCCAAGAGGAGAGGAAGGGTGTAGGGGGCAGAGATCAGCTTGGTTTTCCTGATGAAGAATTTTGAAGCAGAGGGGGAGTGTCCTAGATATGATTTAAGGCAGAGAAAGAACTAGAACTTTTTGCAGTGATGCAAATGTTCTATACCTGTGCTGTAGCTATTCATTATATGTAGCTCTATAAATCTAAATTTAAATCAACTGAAACTTAAAATTATTTTCCTCAGTCACACCAGCCACATTTCAATTGCTCAGTAGGCCACGTATGGCTAGTGGCTACCTTAACTAGAAAGTACTCATCTAAAGGTAAAAGGTGGTGGTAGGATCTCTGGAAGGGAGATTAAATGGCCAGAGTGAAGAAAGAAAAGGCTATTTTTACAGTATCATTAAGGATAGACTTTTTGAATTAAATCAGTCTCCATTCTTGGAATACACAGGTGCACAGCTGAATTTTAGTTTTTCGTCCTAGGCTCATGAGGAACAGTGTTCTAGAACTCCTTCCTTCCTTCCTCCAGAAGCCTGGGTAGTATTGACTACCTTGAAAACATGCCAGTTGGTGTTTGCTTGTGGGAAGATAATGGGGGGAGTTCTTATCTATGATTGTTTTAGAGGATATACCTGGCCAATCCAGGCTACTTATAAATAGACCTAGAATTTATGGATTTATGAGATGTAGTTTATAACTCTCCAGCTTGTGTGATTTGTGGATTTATGAGACACAGCTTATAAACTCGCCAGCCTGTGTGATTAATGGAGTATAAAAACTAAGAAGTTCAAAGCTAAACAACTTCTTCTGAGCTGACATGTACTATACACATTATTAGTACTTGCATTTTACTCCATGCACTGTTGAGGGAAAAGGGATAACTAGGAAGCTCAATCTGATAGGTCAGGGCCCCTTTAGAAAGCAATGCGATGTCTGTATCTGGTTTTTGCTTGTATCCTTTGCTAATCATTGGTAACATTTAGTGTGGGGAAGGATCTATGATAAATATGAGTTGGCTTTGATAGTTGATGCCTTTGTGGTAACATGGTTTACTAACTACTTTTAGATATTATTGAAGAGTTGCTTCATTGCTTTTATATCTTAGGTCAAGTTATTTTCTTCCATTGTGGATGACCCTTGGTCTCCTATCCCCAAGAAAGGAGAATTTTATTAAGTAAACAGTTATCAAAGGCCAACTAGGTGCAAGGTGCTATTGCTATTAGTGCCAGGAAATTGAAAAAGAAAAAAGGAAGGGGGAGATATCTTTGCTCTTCAGACACTAGACTAGGTGGATGTATTTGCTAAGTACTATTTTAAGTGAGGAAACCCTGCTTTAGCTTTGTTTGGTTGTTTAGCATTTTCTCTCTTTTTTGATATTACATAAAGCTAACACTTGGCCCTAAATGAGGGGAAAGGATTTGTTGACTGCTTATTAAGTACCTAGATCTTTATATATACGATCTTATTTACACCTTTAGAACAACCCTGAGAACCACCTATTATTATGACCTTTTTTTTTTTTTTACAAATGAGAAAATTATTGGTTATGTAGCTTGTCTCAAATAGTTAATAAATGGTAAAGATTCAAAAACGCTTTTATAATCTTTGCCTATAATCTTTGCCTTAATATAAGGTATTTTTTGGAGGTCTTTCAGATGACCTGCTGACTGATCCAGTGTATAAGAGTGATATAAATGTATGATTTCTTTTTTTTTTCCTTTAAAGCTTATTTATTTATTTTTGAGACAGAGGGAGGAAGAGGAAGTGGGGGAGGGGCAGAGAGAGAGAGAGAGAGAGAGAGAGGGAGGGAGGGGGAGGGAATCCCAGGCAGGCTCTGTACTGTCAGCACAGAGCCCAATGCGTGGCTCGAACCCACGAACCATGAGTTTGTGACCTGAGCCAAAGTCAGATGCTTAACCAACTGAGCCACCCAGGCACCCCTGAATGTATGATTTCTGAATCGGGTCCTAACCAACTCAGAGAGGAGAGAGAGCGGAAAAAATGGGGATGAGACAAATGTAAGATATAAACATTTTATTATTGGGATGTTATGATTTACAATTTGGTAAGATTGGGTACTAGGTCCCTTCTGGTTTCTTGATATTATTCCTATCACCTTAGAAGGTAGGAGTCCCTGCCTCCACCTATCATGCCCCATATTTTGTCCCCCTTTCTCTTGCAGAGAGAAGGCAGTGGTGTTGCCTCTGGGAATTGTAAGAGGCAAGTGGGCTCTGTGTTCTCTGGGACCTTTTTTCCCATGGAAGGGGTTTAAATGTTTCCAAAAGGTCAGAAAGCCACTAGTAGGGAATGCAAGCTGCTTCTTTGCTTCAGTTATAGTGGAGCCTTCAGAGATGTAACTGTGGAAATGTGAAAACCAGAATTAGAGGAAACTGTCCTTACAGTAGCCCATGTGCCAGAGATAATTCAGCTGCATTAGGTATATTCTGTAGGGAATATGCATAGGCTGGATGTATGGTTAGCTTTTTAAGCTTTTGTAAGACAGTTCTTAAGTGGAAGTTAAAATACACTTAGTAATTTTCTCCAAAGCAATATTTGGTTGAAATCAAACCACAGTTTAAAAATGCAGTTAGGTCCCTTTAACTATTAGATTTTGGCTTTAGAATTTAGCAGCTTAAGAATTGCTAAGTAACTGTGTGAAATGGCTGTGATAAATGAGACATGAATCCAAATAAGGTGTGTACAACCTTTTTTTCTTTAGGATGTTTTACACATTATTGTATCAACAAATATTTTAATTTTACAGATAAAAATGGAAAAGGTTGCTAAGCAGAAAGGAAAAGCACCGTTGCCATCAAGTACAAAACCTTCATGAAGACTATCAAATTAAAACCATCATCCAAATAGGTTTTGTTTGTGTTTATTTAAATACAATAATAGTTTATTTTCTCCCAAATTATTTACTTCTTTTACTATGTAAAAATGTCATTTTGGTTGTTTCCTTAATTTTTTAAAAAAATTTCTTAAATATTTATTTTTGAGAGATCAAGAGAGAGAGAGAGAGAGAGACAGAGTGTGAGTGGAGGAGGGGCAGAGAGAGAGGGAGACACAGAACTTGAAGCGGGCTCCAGACTCTGAGCCATCAGCACAGAGCCTGATGCGGGGCTCGAACCCACGAACCATGAGATCATGACCTGAGCCGAAGTCGGACGCTCAACTGACTGAGCCACCCAGGTGCCCCATTGTTGTTTTCTTAATTTATTTAAACAAGTGAGAATACTTTACATTACTTCTGTCAAAAGTCATGATTTCATATCTTGTATATACTTTTTGTCTCTCCTAACAAATGAGGTTATTTTCATATTAGTCAAAATGAGAAAATACAGTAACTGTTTTTAGTCTGTCATACATTATCTTTTTAAGGCTATTTAGAAAATTAAATATGTTATTGAGGGTTTTGACCACTGCTTAAAATGAGTAAGTTAAAATCTTGATTTTTTATTTTTCAAGCTTTGTAATCTTGATTTATGTTTTTAAATAAAAAGCTATATTTTAAAATTATATAATCATTTTCTAGTGGTGTTTACTGATTTTTTAAGTTGTTTTGTTAACTATGGGTTGTATATAACTGTATTGACACTTCTCGTGTGCTACTTCAAATGCTCTTGGCCCCACCTCTTGCTCCATTACTGCTGTGAAACAGTTTGAGGCAGACTCTGACAGCTTCTTATGGACAAAAGTACAAATTTCATTTGATGGCATTTCATCTTGGGAGCATTTCATGACTCTCTCGCTTTTTTCTCCAGGGATCTTCTGACACTGTGACTTGGGATGCATCATAGATGTATGAAATATATGGGGGAATTAATGACCTCAGGACCACCCTTGACTAAAGGGTAAATGCTCTCTTCCATCTCCTAGGAAGATAATTCTGAGATGCCTTTTATAAGCTTCCTCAGAAAATCCTGTGGGATTGAGCACCAGTCACCCATAGATGTGACCAACTCCATAATATATTGTTATGTTAGCTTTCTCTAACTTCTCCCTTTCTGATCCTTCTCTCTGGTTCCCTCAGATTACTTCTCAAATAAATACCTGTATGTGAGTATTTGTCTTAGGCTTTGGTTTTGGGTGGCTGGTAAACCCAGGCCAAGATGGGTACCAGGAATGGCCTTAGAAAGCAAACCCTCTGGTTTGCATTCTGTGACTGGATCATTCACTGGACTGATGATAACAAAGACCCAATAGCTAGTGGTAAGTGGTGTAGTGATAACTTCTGTCACGTGGATGCGTCACAGTTTCTGAATTGGATTTGGGTAGGGTGTAGGTGGAAGGTGAAGTGTTAGGTTACACATTAGCTGTGGCATTACAGTGAAATGAGACTAATGGAAATTATAAAGCTGGAGATGTTGGTTAGCTATTGTTAACTGCTTTAACAAGCTTGAAAAAAGAAAATGGCATAGGTTCATGTTAGCTATTTAAGTCAAGGGATGCTGTGAAAGCCAGAGTGCTGCCTCCATAGCACCCTTTAAGGAAAAATCTCATCTGCAGACGCTGGCAATCTGTGCTGATGATCCAGCCCAAATAGTAAAGGTGGCAAGGCCACAAAGGAAACTGAATGCACAGCCTCAATCGTCTCCTCCAGCAAAGTCAGTATGCTGACAGGAAAAGATTAGAACCTTGGATCATAGAATGGGAATATTTGTGTTGGTGAGCCTGAGAAACTTAAACTCTGATGTTCCCTTGGTTCTCTGAGCCACAGAAGCAGACTCTTCTCCTCCACTTTGCTGATGGAGATCAGTGTACACTTGTTTGGAGATCCTGCATAGAATTTATCGGGGGCACTTGCATTGTAAGATGATACTTGCCGTCCTCAAGACCCACCCCTGCTACCTCTCCTTACTCCAAACTGATAACTAGGATCAGGTCTCAGCATACCCTAAGTGGGGAAATACAGTCCTTCCTATAGGAGGATAAGTTACAACTGAATGAACTGCAGGTTCTTCTTAAAATGTATTGGCAGGAACCTGGGAAATATGCCTGGAAGTAGGTCTCGAAGGTGTTGGAGGGGGATGGAATATATGGCTTGATAGGAGAGAGTAACATGGTAGCACTTAAACTCCTAACTTGGGTTTTAATGCCTTAGATATCTGGAGTTGGTCCTAACACTGCTAGGGTGGCATCTGGAAGATATGGTGGAAATGCTAGAATTTATCTGGCATGGTATTGAGGAAGGGGTCACAAAACTCAACGAAGTCACAATGTTAGAATGGATGTGTTGTTTGAAACTTCAGAAGCTACCACTTGAGTGTTTTCCCTGTGAAGGCTCAGATGACACTCACAATTAAGGCAATAAAAAATGTAATGGTGAAGAGTATACTGGCAATTTTGAGAAGATTGGCTGTGGCTGATATCTACAGGCTAGAATTGATGGTAGAAGATGCTGCCATGATCTTGGGCTCCTTGATATCAATGTAGATGATGGGATGCAGTTGAAGGCCAGGTTGTGGAACTGAACTGTCAGATGCCCAGTGGACATAATTAATGGATACCAAGGCATGGATCTGTGAAGGAGTTTAAAATCGTGGTGTTCCAAGGGGCAAGATAGAAGGACAGCTGATTAGGTTGTTACTTGATTTGTAAATCCACTTGTGTAACTACTGGATTCTTCACCTAGTTTTCAGACTTCAGGTAGGTCAGATCTAGAGCCCACTCATAGAAGGGAGAGCCCAGATTCCCTTGAGAAGGGGTCCTCCAGTATATATGATAAACATCATGTATATACTTGCCCCAGAGGGGCACCCATTAGGGGCAGTGGAGAAAGAGGAATACTCAGATTTTTCAACCAAGGACTTCTGGATATAGCATCTGAGCTCATATGGATCCCAAAGAACCCAAAACACCATTATGGCCCTCTGGTTGTATGCAACCCAGTGATAAATGGAGTCCTAACCAAAGTCTGTCCCAGTGAGTATAATGTATCTGGACCCACTTTTTGTTTATTTCTAAAGTACCTAAATATATATAATTGGGACAGATGTACTCTACTTAGAAGCTGATAGAGTCCTTGAGCCTACATTGATAACACTTGTTTCATGCCCCAGATACTGTTCAGATGCTGTAGGTTTGGGTCAGAGTTAATGACCCAGGGGCCTCCCTTGACCAAAGCATTATATAGGCACAAAGTCAGTAAGGATATAGAAGACTTGAACAACTATTAACCAACTTTATGTAATTGACATTTACAGAACACTCAACCCACATTTTTTTTTAATGCACATGAAACATTTACTAAGATTGACCACACTCTAGGTCACAAAACAAGTCTCAATACTTTTAAGATAATTCAGGTCATGATGTCTTCTGATCATAATGGAATTAAATTAGAAATCAGTAACAAATATATCTGGGAAATCTCCAAAAATTTCTAAGTCATATAATATCTAAATAATCCATGGGTAGAGGAAAAAAGTAAAAAAAGGAATCAAAGTACTTTTAACTGAATGAAAATGAAAACTATTTGTGGGATTTAGCTAAAACAGTATTTAGAGGAAAATTTATAGCATCAAATGCCTGTATCAGAAAAGAAGAAAGATTTCAAATCAGTTTCAACTTAAGGAACTGGAGAAAGAAGAGAAAATGAAAACTAAAATAAGAAAAAGGAAATAATAAAGACCAAAGCAGAAATATAAAACAGAATGCAATAGAGAAAATGAATAAAACAGTTTGTTTGAGAAGACCAATAAAATTGATAAACCTCTATAACCAGACTGATCAGCAAAGGCTAGAAAGAAAGAGAACACACAAATTACCAATATTAGGAATGAGAGTTATGACATCACTATATGTTCTATTAGAAGGATAATAAGGGAATGTGATAAACAACTTTATGCCAATGAATTTGACAACTTAGACTGAAATAGATAAATTCCTTGAAATACAAAAACTGAAGCTCATTCAATAATAAATAGATAGCCTGTTTAGCCCTTTATTGTATGCTGTTAGCTCATATATCAATTAAAGAACTGATTTATACTTAAAAATCTTCCCACAAAGAAAATTCCAGGCCCAGATGGCTGTACTGTGAATTTTACCAAACATTTAAGGAGCAAAGATGACTAATTCTATATAGCCTTTTCCAGCAAATTAAAGTTGGGAATTCTTTACAATTTAATCTATATGGCCAGCATTACTCCGATATGAAAACCAGACAAAGACATCACAAGAAAAGAAAGTTTCAGACTAATTCCTCTCAAACATAGATACAAAAATTCTTAACAATTTTGGCAAATCTAAGAATATGTAAAATGGATAATATTTCATGATTGAATGGGTGTTTTCCAAGGAATGGAAAGGTTGGCTTAACATGAAAATTAATATAATTCATCATATTAACAAACTAAAAAAGAACCACATGACCATCTTTTTTTTTTTTTTTTTTTTTAAATTTTTTTTTTTTTCAACGTTTATTTATTTTTGGGACAGAGAGAGACAGAGCATGAACGGGGGAGGGGCAGAGAGAGAGGGAGACACAGAATCGGAAACAGGCTCCAGGCTCCGAGCCGTCAGCCCAGAGCCTGACGCGGGGCTCGAACTCCCGGACCGCGAGATCGTGACCTGGCTGAAGTCGGACGCTTAACCGACTGCGCCACCCAGGCGCCCCCCACATGACCATCTTAATAGATGTAGGAGTACTTGACAAAATTCAACACACATTCAAGACAATAACTCTCAGCAAACTAAGAATTAAGGTAATTTCTTCAATCTGATAATGGGTATTTACTAAAAAGCCACTGCTAACATCATAGTTAATGCTGAAAGGCAAACGCTTTCCTCCTCAGATGAGGAACATGGCAAGGATGGCTGCTCTTGGCA